GTGGAGAGGGAATTATATATACTCTCACTCCAGCCTAGGGGAGTCCCTCGATGGCCACGTGGGACAATCCCCCCGGGACTGGTATGCCGGGTTGTTTTTTACCTCGCTAGAACGACCGCTGGGGGTGGGTGGGGGGGGGGTGACGGAGTTTTCTGTACGTTGAATATGAATGTTATGACGTAATGTGTACATGAGGGTATTTCACCGGATGGTAATGCGGGTATTACAGTCATGTGGATATTACAGTACATAGGGGGTATCATAATATGCGTACATGTGGATTTTACAATACGTATATGAGTATATTACAGTACATGTAAATAGGGGTATTACAGTACGTATACACAAGAGTATTCCCGTAAGTGTAAACGAGTGTTACATTACTTAGTTCATAAGGATATCACAAAACAAGTGAATAAGGGTATCACAGAAAGTGTAAGTGAGACAATAACGGAAAGAATGGGAGAATTAACGGTAGTTTAGATGAATGTAACGGTCAATGAGGATGATAAAACTGTATCTGTTTTTTTTTTTTTTTTTTTTTTTTTTTTTTTTTTTTTTAGAGAGAGGTTTCAGGTTTCAGTGACTGTTTTATTCTTTAAACTAGTAGTTTTTATCCATTTCTTAGTTATATGATGTACCTATATACATACAGTATATGGGCATACGTGCATGAGCGTTTGTGGGTGTGAATGTTTGTGTGTGCGTGTACATATATATACATACATACATACATACATACATAACAACATACATACATACATACATACATACATACATACATATATAATACATAATATATATATATATATATGTATATATACATACACATATATGTATGTATGTACATATGTTTATGTATATATATAATATATATATATTATTATGTATGTATGTATGTATGTATATATACATATATATGTATGTATTAATGTATGTATATATACATAGATATGTATATGCATATGGTAGAAAAACCCACAATGCATAAGATAGTTTGTGCATTGTTGTTTTTTTCTATCATAGTATCAACACGGGAGAGTGTTTTTCCATTCATGTATACACATATAATATCCGTGCCTGTAAGAGTGTGTGTGTGAATGTGTGTGTTGTGTGTGTTGTGTGTGTGTGCGCGCGCGTGTGTGTGTGCGTGCGTGCGTGATTATGCATGTAAGTGTATATCTACGTTCGTACGTGTGTATGTATGTGTATATACGCAGGTATTTTTGTAATAAAAGAATCTTTCCTAATAATTTCCACACATAGTATATAATTCCTCCCTCTAAACCCACGACAAACCCCCCCCCAACCCCCAACCCCCCCAACCCCCAACCCCCCCAACCCCCCACCACCCCCCCCAACCCCCCCAACCCCCCAACCCCCCCCAACCCCCAACCCCCCCAACCCCCCAACCCCCCAACCCCCCAACTCCCCAACCCCCCCAACTCCCCAACCCCCCCAACCCCCCAACCCCCCCCAACCCCCCAAAACCCCCCCCCCCAACCCCCCAACCCCCCCCAACCCCCCAACCCCCCCCAACCCCCCCACCCCCCCAACCCCCCCAACCCCCAACTCCCCAACCCCCCCAACGCGACAATTACCCAAACACGAGAGAAAGTGGCGAGGGTGGCCTCCGTGGACCAAGGGACGACCGCGGCGACTCTTTACCGGTGGAAACCGAACTGGAAAGCTTTGACCTACGAAGCGGTCGCGCAGAGCCTACGAACCCGCAGCACAGTTTTACTTGCTTGGCTTGAAGGAGGACTGCGGAATAGGAAACTGTTGGTGTCTGTTTAGTCAGATTGGTTTGTGTTCGAAGTTATTTCGTTTGGTTGGTATGTGTTTTTGGTTATTGAAGTGTTTGGTATATGCTAAAGGTTGTTCGGTTATTTTTAAGTATGTTGGGAGTTGTTTAGTTATTTTTGTATTTGTTGATCTTTTTGTGTATATCAAAGTTATTTAGTTATCTAGGTATATCTGAAAAGTTATTCAACTATTCTGTATATGTGAAAGATAGTTATTTTGGTATATGTGAATAATAAAAATTTGTCAAGAGAGAGATCATTTCACATCTTGTTAATCTAATTTTACTCAACGCTGTCACAAATCAACATATTAACGATAATTTTACAGTTTCATTCTCAATAAAAAATCGGAAGCTGGTCACGAATTTCAATATACAACTGGTATGTTAAATGATTTTCGTTTAATCCTCTACAGAAACAAGCAAATAGTTTGGAAAAAATCCATATTTCAAGCAAATTTTGTCTTCTCAACAAACATTTTTTATATACAGTTATATATATATATATATATATATATATATATATTATATATATTATATATATATATATTATAGAGAGAGAGAGAGAGAGAGAGAGAGAGAGAGAGAGAGAGAGAGAGAGAGAGAGAGAGAGATAGAGAGAGAGAGAGAGAGAGAGAGAGAGAGAGAGAGAGAGAGAGAGAGAGATGTACATATATATAACTGATTGTTCTATTTCATTATTTCCACCGGAGATTATATCTAAGATTGCCTTTTACTACCTCTGCCAAACAGACAGGTTATATAATTAGTCTCATTCATTCACTTTTAGTTTTGTCGCCAAGATTAGATAATAGAATCACAGACGGATTATAATCAGAATTTATGGATTGGTTGCCTATAGTTCAAGATGATTCGATTTTGGAAGAGATTCGGTGTCGCTGAGTTTATATTATAATAGATTAACTATAGATTATTTGTCAATTTGTTATACACTTTATTTAAAACTGACATGTCGGTTTGCTATCACCTCAAAGTATCACCAAGTTAAGTATCACTCTAATTATCACTTCTAAGTATCTCCAAGTTAAGTATCACCTCAAATATCACCTCTAAGCTTAATCTATCTTCATCCATCCCAATCCATATATATAAATCTACCCTTATCTACCCCTAAACACCCTCTCTACCCCAGTAATCTACTCATACGGCCGGTTGTTATTATTGTGCGAGCCCGACCCAATACATATTCAAGTATATGGACATACAAATAAACAAAAATATATATACATCTATTTATTTATCTCTACCTATTTGATAGTTTTAAATTTCTCTCTCTATCTATCCGTATATATGCCTGTCTAGACTGATAGATATGCATTTATTTCTGCATTTATTTCTTATATATATTTATTTATTATATTTATTTATTTATGTATGTCTGTATATGCGAATATTCATCGGGTCGGGCCTCGCATAATCTTAAACCGGCCGTATGAGTAGATTTCTGGGGTAGACAGGGTGTTTGGGGTAGATAAAGGTAGATTTTATAGAGGATTTGGGATCGATGAAGGTAGATTAAGCTTAGAGGTGATATTTGGTGTGTGTGTTGATATGAATGAGGGTATATTAGGGTATATTATCGTAGATTTTGGGGTATTTCAAGAGCAGACGATGGTAGAATCTGGATGATTTTCGAGAGTAGAATAAACAGATTTTCAGGTCGATTTGAACTAATAATACAGATAAAGGAAGCGAAGTTAGGAAAACATTTAGACGTAAAAACACACACAACTCGGACGTAAAACGAGTAGATAAAAACGTTTAGACNATTGATAATAGGCTTTAGTCAGGAGAAAAGATTAAGAATATTACTCATTTTTCTCATTTTTTTCCACAACGTACCACACGTATGAGCATAATGTACGCAAACATAAAATACACTCGTACACACAGACACACATACACACACACACGCACGCACGCACACACACACACCACACACACACACACAACAACACCATTACACACACATCACACACACACACACACACACATACACATACTCACAAAAAAAAAGCTAAAAGTAAGAAATTTAAAAACATAATGTGCCTTGCGCGTGTGAGAAAGAGAGAGAAGAGAGAGAGAGACGAGAGAGAGAGAGAAGAGAGAAGAGAGAGAGAGAGAAGAGAGAGAGAGACAGAGAGAGAGAGAGAGGAGAGAGATGAGAGAGAGAGAGAGCAGAGAGAGAGAGAGAGGAGAGTACGAGAGAGAGAGAGAGAGAGAGAGACAGACAGAGAGAGACAGACAGAGCAGAAGACAGACAGACAGACAGGACAGAGGACAGAGTAGAGACAGAGTAGAAAAAGATGAGACAAGAGAAAGAAAAGAAGAAGGAAAGAAAAGAAAGAAAAAAAATCAGAAAGAGAGAGACAAAGAGAAGGGAAGTCATTCCGAACCACCCCCGAAGGCAGAAATACCACGCCTACTTCCTCCGTCGTAACATAACTGCAATTCTTTCCTACGGCTTGCCCAACCCATTCCGATACGGGGGGGGGGGCGGGGCTTCTGTATGCGGACCGAGAATAGCAGTCGTCACCGACTCTTTGTTAGAGCACCGACGCCGAGACCTTAAAAGCAGGGGACTAAATACACTGCGTCGAGTTTGCACGGGCGGGCTTTACAATGTGGGCGTGTGGACGATAATCGCAGGGAGGTAGATAAACAGGCGGATAGAAATGTAAACAAACAGGTGAATGATGGAGAAAGGGCGAGGAGGAAGAGAAGTAGAGAAAACGGAGTGATAGAAAATGTAAAACAAGAGGTGAATAATGGGAGAAAACGCGAGAAGGAAGAGAAGTAGAGAAAACGGAATGATAGAAATGTAAAACAAACAGGGAATAAAGGAGAAAAAGAGGGAGAAGGAAGAGAAATAGAGAAACCGACTGATAAAAATGTAAACAAACAGGAAAATAAAGTAGAAATGAGCGAGAAGGAAATAGGGAAAATGAAGTAGACTTAGAGAAGGATTTACGAATGAAAAAAAAAAACGAATATAAGTATTTAAACAAAATGGGAAAAGTAATCAAAGCAGAGTGATAATAAAATCGAAGATACAGGGAAGAAGAGATAAGTAAAAACGTTTAGAACGAAGGAGTAAACAGAGATAACGAGAGGAGGAGCGAAAGGAGGACTCAAATAGCGGAAAAGAGAGAGGGGGGAGCCCGGGGATGGGAGA